TATGAAGAAAAATAGAAAGGAAAGATTTTGTGTAGATTATAAAAAACTTAATACAATAACTAAGAAAGACTTTTACCCCCTTCCCTGCATAGATGAACTTTTAGACTCCCTTGCAAGAGCTACATATTTTTCTACTCTTGATCTTATGAGTGGATATTGGCAAGTAATAATACACCTTGCAAACAGAGAGAAAACAGCTTTTATCACTAAATATGATACTTACGAGTTTAATGTAATACTATTTGGATTATGCAATGTACTTGCAACTTTTCAACATCTTATAAATCAGATTTACCAAGGCATAGCCTATAAATATATTGTTGTCTACTTAGATAATACTAATGTATTCTCATAGACATTTGAAGATCATATTCAATATCTTCATGAAGTATTTACTAGAATCAAAAAAGCTGAACTCAACATATCTACTGATTTGTAAAATACCCTAAAAATTATGACGCTTCTAAATTTGAACATATAGTACATCAATCATTTGACAATTAAATTAACCAATTAAAATTTAAGAATAAATAATAATAACAGTTTTCTTAAACATAAATAAAATTAGAATTAGTTCAAAAATAACCTGGCAACCTGACTTTTAATTTTATTTTCAAAAATTTTTTTATATAAAAAACAAAAAAACTTACTCTGTATTTTGTGAAATGCAAAATATCATCGTCCTTCATATTTTTTTTATTTGTTAAATATAATACAAAAATAAATAAATAAATAATAATTTGAATTTGTTTAATTCTAGAAAAATGAACTCTAATGATAATAATGTTCATAAAAAAAGGAAGTTAGTAAAGAAAATTCTAACTATCCTAAAGACAAAATAATTATATATAAAACTTCTAAGCATAGTTATATGTATAATATTATTGAGCTAGGTTTTTATCCTCCAAAAACTTATTTAGCTTATACTTTAAAACCAAATTCATATAAAATTTCTGATGAATATATAGTTGAAACTACATATAGAAAAATAGAAAAAAAAATTATAACCTGTTCAATAAACTATATAGACAATCAGCCTTATTATACAATTAAATTTGGTTCAAATTCCGATAATTTTATATCATCAAATTGTTCTCTAACAGCAGCAACAAATGCTTATCTTAAAGCATATAATACACAAAAAATTGAATATGAACAAGCAAAGAATTCAAATATCGTAAGTTTGTAAGTTATATATTTATTGATTATATTATATATACTGTATAATAATAATAATAATTATTATTATTATTTAGAGTTCTATATCTATTCCTAATAGTAAAATGAATGGAATCTATCTTTTTGAACTGCACTTAAAACAAATAAATCATTTTAGAGAAAATTGTAATAGAACTAGAATATATAAACCTTTTAAAGACTTAACAAGACAAATGCAAATAGCTTGAAACAAGTCTATAGGCAATGATCTTTTTTTGGATTTTAAAACCAGAATTCATTCTAATTTTAATTTACAAGACAAAGTAGAATTAAATGAATTAGTGTTTTTAGTTAATAATCAAAGATTTTGAATAATCTACAATTCACAATTATTAGATGAAACTACATGTCAAATGGCAATAATTCGAGCTATAGATCAGTAGCGAATTACTAAAGATGCATATAAAACACTTGCTAATATCAGTTATGATCTTCCTCGTGAATGGACAATTATAACTAAGTGACAAGAAATTAATAATTTAATGAATGCATCAGTAAAAATTTCTTTAATTGATCTTAATTTACATTCAGAAAATAATGAAATTACTTCTGATGTTGAAACATTACCTGAAATTGGAGCATCACGTTCAATTAAAGAGATTTTAGCATATCTAATTCCAACTATGGTAGCAAAAAAAATACTTGACCTCTTTGATCCAATAATTAATATTTGAATTTCTGGTGATAGTCAGAATGTAGGAAAAAAGATCAAACATATTATGGTTACTTTCACCTTATTAAATAATAAAGTAAATATTTTTAAACCTAAATCACATTTTACTTTAATTGTTTGTCCAGGAGTAGAAAAGTATTCAATATTACAAATAGTAATGAAATCTTTAATAGCTAAGTTAGATAATATCAAGAATGGTTTTATTGATAAAGAGGGTCATTATTGGAATATCAATCTTTATTTTTCAGCAGACTGGAAATTTATGTTAATTTGCTTGGGTCACAAAGCTGCCAATAGTGCAGAATATTGTTTATGGTGCCTAATTCATAAATCACAAAATGGTATATTAGAAAGTAATGGAATTCGTTAAGATAATTGGACAATTACTAAAAATATGAATGAAATTAGTCAAAATTATCAAAACATATCTAGACACAATTAACCACCACTTTTCCCGATGATCTTGATTCATAATTATGTAGTAGATGAGTTGTATTTACTATTAAGAGTTACAGACCAACTTTGGACTTTAGTAATTAATGAGCTTTATAGTACTGGAAATTATAATGATATAATACATAAAGTAATTGTAGATGAAATAAATCATATTGGAGTTAAGTTTCAGTTTTGAGAGGATCAAAACACAAAAGCATGGGCATATACACCTTTAATAGGTGACGACAAATTAAAGATATTACAGAATTTTAACTTTATAGTGATTTTTTCTTTGCAACGTGCTGCACTTATTAGAAAACTATGGAATAGATTTTACTGTTTGTATAATAATTTACATAATTCAAATATAACTGGAAAAGACTTTTATCAAAAAGCATGTAGTTGGCTACAACTTTTTTTAACACGATCTCAGAGTAGCATCAATTCTCTAGGCTTTGTACAGAGCCTTTACTGTCTAACAGATGTAACGTCTTATATTCATGTTTTGGTATATCATGTACCAGAATTTATAGATATTCATAAAAATGTTGGATTCAATTCTTTTTCATGTTCAGCTGTAGAGAAGAAAAATTATGAACATATATCTCATTTTTTTCAAAAAACAATGAAGAATGGAGGTAACAAATCAGCGATTATAGAAATTATGGAATATGAAAACCAGAATAATTTTTTTTATATTAATGATATTCCTCTTTATTTTGAAAAAGATGTAAAAATTAACATAAAAAAATAAATTCTATGGTTGATTGATTGTCTTTTGAGCTATACTGGTAAATTGCTTATAAAATTATATACTAGCTTATTAATATTTATATAATTCTATTGTATCACTTAATTTTAATGATCATAATATTTCCATCAAAAATTTTCGCTTATATGATATATATTAGCATTTTAATTTGCATTAACTTAATCTCTAAGTATAAAGAATTAAATTGCTTATTTATAATTAGCACCTTAAACCTATAAATGTCTATTTCTGATTTATATGGTTGATAAATATAAAACATATGTTAATTTACGTACAGTATAAAACTAGCAATTTGAGTTTATAGGAATTTACTATGGGTTTGGGTCAATATCCTAAAGATCAAAATCCTAAAAGTACTAAATTCTAATGCTTCAGGATTGTGACTTTCCAGAATTGTGATCTTTTGGGATTATGATTTTTCAGAATTTTTTTTTTTAAGATTTAGTTTTTAGGATATTATACTTTCGGGATTTTAATCTTTCAGAATTTAATACATCGGAATTTGGTACTTTCGGGATTTTGATCTTTGGATATTGACCCAACCCTATTTACTACCATATATAAAAATTGACAATTCAACTTTTTGATTCATATAATTAATCTGCAAGTATAAAGAATATTTGTTGTATCTATTAAGAATATATTACTAAAAAAGGTATAGCACAATAAGAAAAACTCTAGTTATTTATAATAAATTCATTATCATTATCACTTCAACAATTACTAACTTTGATTTCACAACAATTACATATGATCTAAATATGCATACAAACTAGTCATTCTCGTTTTTCATCGTGGTTAGAATAACTAGTAAGATTGAAACTGTTAGATACTAAGTTTAATAAGGTAAAATTTAGTGAATTAATTTATGAATTTTTTACTTTTGTTACTTATATCTACTAAAGTAATATCTACATACTAATAAACACTACAAGAATGAGAATTTTTTTCTAATAGTTACTTCTTAGTATTAAATTTTCTAACTTTTCATTTTATACAGGATAAGTTCTATCAATACATTGAATAAATATAGTAAGTGTTAAGTTTCAGATTTGGGTCAATACCCCGAAGATCAAAATTCCGAATGTACTAAATTCTGATATACTAAACTCTGAAAGCATAATATTATAATATTCTGAAAACCAAATCTTGAAAAAAAAAAATCCTGAAAGATCATAATCCTAAAAAATTACGATCCTGAAAATCATAATCCTAAAAGATCATACTCTCAAAAGATCATAATACTGAAGGGTTATAATCATAAGAAGTCATAATCCCACAAAGTTATAGCCTTAAAAGATTACAATTACCTTCTGAAATTATGATTTTCAGAATTATGACTTTTCAGTATTATGACCTTTTAAGATTATGATTTTTTGGGATTGTAGTTTTTCAAGTAGTGTTTGTACTCAGGGCAGGTATTATCTAAGTTACCTGCGGGTAATCAGATATCTGAGTAGTGATTATGGCTACCTGAGTAGATTTAACCAGGTAATACTCAGGTAAATATAACTAGATAATACTTGGGGGTAATTACTAAATTATAGCAAAATGCCGTAAATATATTTCACGTTCATACGTATAGTGCATATAGTTGATTCTAGTGATCTGACTAGTTGATAGAATTCATTTAAAGTAATCAGCAGAGAGGGTTTTTATTAGAACCAGGCAAGGACTTTAGTGCAACAATTCCAAGTTCCTGTACTCTTCTATTACCATCAATTTTTTGTATGCTATCTGACCAGAACGCTGAAAATACAGAACCAAATCCTTCTTTACTAATATTTTTAATCTTATCTAAGTTATCAAAAGGAATCTCTTCCTCATACAAAGTAGCTCTAAGTTGAAAGTCTTTCATAAAGTTATCAATATCCTTATTTCTACTTGTCTATCCTTGAATTGTATTGTCAGGATCACATGTAT